ATATCTATATATATATATAGAGAGAGAGAGAGAGAGAGAGAACAATGATTATTCTTTATCCTATTATAATGTAATTAATATAATGAAAGCATCAAACGATTAAATGAATAAAGGAGTTAAAGTCATCATCATTAAGCACATTTTAATATGTCTTTCAAAGTATTCCCGATTTACTCTGTACTATCGGTAATTGTGACATTGATTAAAGGCTCGATTTATGTTTCGATGCTGCATCGTTTGCGAATTATGACCGATAATTAATTTACGTGGTTAAAATTTCAAGTTGCATTGTTAAAATTTCTAATTGATAGCAGGCGAATCAGCAATTTGTAATTAAATTCCATTGTTAAATATAATTATGCTTTGTATATTTAATACAAAAACATATTTTATAGAGGTATATTTAAACTTTAAACGTTCTTGGAAAGTATCCTAATTTGAGTTTTTCAAATTATTCAGTTTAAGCTATTTCACGAATCTTATTTTCTTCTTTAACAATATATTTTTACTATTTTAGCATATTTTAATTTTATAAATGTATCAATAAATATATAATTTATTTTGCGATGTTATAATGTATGTAATAATGGTAATTGAATTAAAATTAATTATTTATAATAAAAAAACCTCTCGAGAGTTGCTAAATGATTTAAATTATAATGCTATAAGTAAAAAATATCAAATGTATTTTTTAAAAGTATATATGTAGGAAAGAGACTGATACCTAGGAACATGTTGTATCTTGGGACACATTAATTATTTTTTAACAGTGTAATGAGATTTTTAATATTAACAGCTCAGTTATATTACTTCAGTTGTAATTTATTTTTAATCTAAATAATCACGTGTTCTGTACAGTCATTTAGTTTTTACTGACAAAAATTTTTTTTTCTTTGTAAGTATTTTTCATGTATAATTTTTTCTCTAATTCTTTTACAAATTTTTATGAAAAATTTAAATTTAATATAAGATTCTTTCTATGTATAATTTTTTTAAGATATTATTTAGCATATTTAAAAAGTTGCATTTTTATTTCTGTTTAATTTCAGTAGTCTTATATTTTAAGTAAAATTGTTGTATTTACTTAGAGACGTGTGTACATAAGAAATCATTTAACATCTTTAGGATGATACTGGGTATACTATTCTTTACTTTTTTATCTTCTTTACGTTTAATTACTTTGTTGTATTTTATAAGGCATTAGTTTTATGTTACAATATTAAACGATTAAATTTCTTCATTTATTTATTACAAACATTTGCCTAAAATTATCTTTATTGCTAATAATTTAATTGTTGTCGATTCAAATATAATTAAAACTGTTCTTTCCTATAAATTTGCGTTTTATCCTTAGCTATAACACGTTGTCCATTATAGGTACAATTATTTTTTTATTTATAAGGGATTTATCAAAAGAAATTGTTAACAGAGATTAAAATATTATTCCAAAAAATGCTATAAATATTTAAGTCATATACATCCTTTATTTATAAACAACATAAGAAATAAAACAAAAATAGTTAAAAAAGTCTAAAAATAATAAAAGTGTACACTTAAGTACACTTCTTATGTAAAAATTCATGCTATAATTATAAGAAATAGGTATTTCCGGGAAAGCTACAAGTAATACTCTCACATGTTGCTACTTTATGCAAGAACATAAAGAAAACGATCACATATTTTCTGATGACATTTCGCGATGATGGGTCACATATGCATATATATAAAATATATATCATGTATGTATATATTATGTACATATATATATATATATATACACATATAAAACTAAAATTTATGGTGCAATATTCATAAAGGTTTGCCCGAAAAGCAGAAGCGCTAAACCGCGTTTCACGCTTGGCAAGCGATATTCGCCAGCGTGGTATGGCGTTATTCATATTTGAAGGAAATACGCTGACCGGCATGTATAAGAATCGTGAAATTGCTTAGCATGGAATCGATATAAATTTGTGATAACTCGCTGTTCTAAGCTGCATTTATTATTAAAGGAAGTCAAAAGACGCTGTACCAAAAATAAATTTAAACAAATTTATCTTCATTATTTCTAATATAACTGACGGTATGTACACCTTTCTCTTCTTCTAGTGTAATATCAAGCTCGATCAAATGTATCTCTAAGGATATAATTAATCACGATTGTTTATCGCGTAAGGAACGAAGCATAGCAGGCCTTTCTGGAATAAACCATTTGAGGCAAGGAAGAGCGTACCTGGGAAAGGGATCGGGGAAAGGAGCGTTGAACGGAGCACAGAAGAGGCGTGAGGAGCATTGGTAGAGGAGAGAAAAAGAAAGGGGCTGGGGGAAAAACAAAATAAAAGAGGAAAACCGCTGGCAATTTTTCACTAGCTTTTTAAAGCGCGGCTTAGGTACTCGTGGAGCGAGTTTGAATCGATTTTTCCAGAGGGGAGAGAGGGCCCATTTTTCTACCGTCTTCTTGTGCCAAACGGCGCAAACTGTACCTACCTCCAGCTGTTTCGCTACTGAACATAGTTGTCGCTCGAAGGCCGAGTTTAGATTGGAAACTGAAATTTCGATACCTCGCATGGTGGTTCCCTTTTTTTCTCCTATCAAGCAATACTCGTGAAGTTTCGTGAACGCATAAGTGGTGCATCTGCATGAGCCAAGAATAAATCGCAGGATGCGAAATCCGAATGGAGATTTCTTGCCGCGAGAGAAACGGATACGAAGATCTATGCTTTAAAAGAAGCGTTTCTATCTTTACGATTTTTACGGATTGAGATTATTAATTCGCGAAAGAGATGATAAAATGCAAGATGATAAGTTATTATTAACATAAATATTTTTTCAGAACGATATTAGTGCAAAACAAATGTTTAGACAGTAATAACATCAAATAGCTGTAGCTACATTTATTTCGTCCACTTTTACGATGTATCGTTGCGCGAAATCGCGATACTGTCCCTGACTTTCGTCACGTAAAATCACAGGGCGTAACGTACTGGTTTGCAGATACAATCGATGTAGAGCGCGGACTTACTGACACTTCGCATGCTCGCAAAATGCAAGCTCAATATGTTCCTTTTGTTTTGCTCACGTAATTTCCTTGCGAAATCGAAGTTCTGTTGCTGATTATGCCTATTCTTAGACTATCACGAATCCTTGGTGTAGGTATATGATAATTTACCTTTATAAGTAAAGGAAAATTTTCATTACTTGAATATCTGAGAGCATGATTACATTAAAATTATTCTTAGAAATATTTTTAATTGTATCTATTTAATATAATAAAAGTAATTATTGAAAAATTTGAACAATAAAATTAAAAATTATAAAGGGCTCTTCATATTTCACAAATTCAAGAATAGAATATAATGGAAAGTACTTCCCATCATTCTATTCTTGAATTTATGAAAAATTTTTGATATATCAAAAATAAAAAATCATAGCATTCTACGTTCCCGAATTTTTCTGTTTAATTATTATTTCAAATTGTGTTAACACTATTATAATAAAAAAAAACTTCAGAACAGGGAAGGAAACATTTGAGTGTTTTATCTATTAATTATCAGTCAGTTGCGCGGAACTTACAAAGGATTTATGTTCTTTAAATGCTGTCTATAAAAATGTGTCAATTAGCTCTTTCGCTGGTTTCTGCTGCATAAATGCACGCGACTTAACGGTATTGGTTTACCGATACAATCGATCAAGACTGCGGAGATTGACGCGACTTCACCTACAGCTTGCTCAAGCCCGACTTCGAAGGGTATCGGTGCTTGCGATATTATCGTCATGCATCTATCGACCGGCGAGTCTAACGGAGCGCAAGGTCGCAGGACTCGTGGTAGCTGCCGCGCGATCGCAGAGATATGCGTTATTATTGTTCGCGTCGGTGCATCGTGAAACGTCGGACGATGATGGAAACTCGTAAAACAGCTCAGTTAGGACGAGAGGGCGAGGTCGTTAAAAGTGTAATAAACTTGAGCAAGTCGGTTGATAAAACGAAATATTCCGGATTTCCTTCTATTGCAACTTCTAGGGATTTGATTATGTCTATTTATTGTCGACACTGACGTTTTCCAGAGTGGTGGCTTTTCTTCAGTAAAGCCGTGGGTTAGTACTGCATTTTTATAAATTGCATTTCCGGAAGCGTTAAGATTGTGAATGATATTTGAGACTTCTCAACTAGTACTCGTGAATCTTTAATATATGTAAATATAAATATAAATATAAATATTGTAGTATTTTTTACTTAGATTTTTATTTAGATATATATAGATATCAGTAAGATAAGAGAGGTGTTTCAATGTATGAGGCATTTAAATAAATTAAATATTCTGTATAGCATTGAAAGCTTATAGTATTTTTTAACTGATATTTTTATATCAGGTATATAAAAAAAAGATAAAACATTCAAAGATTAATAAATATTCCTTTGTTAAAATATTTGACGTTAAAATGTATTGTTTTCTTCTTTTTACTGCAAACGCAAATAATTCTTTTAAGTATTTTTTAATATATGTATTAATGTGTTTTATGAAAATTTTATTAATTATTATATATATTATATATGTATTTATATATTTTCATTAACTAAACTTGCGAACAAAAAGAGTAATAATACGTAAATTTATATACTTATACTTGTAACATAAAATTGATTTTTATAAATCCAATATTAGGTTATTTTGCATTTTTGAAAAGTCGTTAGTGATACCATATTATCATTTTATGATGACGTTATATTATCGCTCATATAACTCTAGTAAAACGGTAAGTCGACTTTAATGAGCAAGATTAAGAGGACTTACGAGATCTCTCCGAAGGCTGAGAAAGCTTCCCTTAAGGTATGTGTCTCGATTTCCGGACTCAGGTCTCCAACAAATATGTGATAATGTTCTGAAACAAAAAAGAAGATGATTAGACATAGTTTGAAAACAGAATAATATAATACGTTTTTCTTGCTGAGAAAATTACACTTGAAAATAATAATGATTATATTCAAACATTATTAATTTCTGCAACGAGTATATGAGCTTTAATGAATGCAAAACTAGATATGAAATATTTATTTCGTTATACTTGGTCCAAAATACATATCTCTGTGATTAAACTCCGCAATCAATAATCCAAAAATGTAGATAAAAATTCAGTAACTTGATAGAGAAATAATTAATGTGTTTCTGTGACGTTCATTTAAAAATTACTGTATTTATCTCTACACAAGAGCAAAATGCAGAATTATTTAGAAAATCACGACACGATTTTAATAAAATTAATTTATTTTATTAAATTTAATGTAATGTAATTTTTATATTATCCATTTAACAATATTATTTTTTAAACATAAGATATCACTTTGCTATACTTATAATCGCAAAACACTGAATAAATAACAAGTTCAGCTGTTTTGAGAATATCTCTTTATTAAATTGTTAATGAGCTCTTTCCTTCGCTAAAAGCGTGATGATTCTGTCTGAAATATCTGACATAATATAAGGAAAATGAAACATCGCAGAAAATTACTCTTAGCGCGAGAATGCTATTCAGACAATCGAAGGTCTTTCATAATACATAAGATGCAACCTCTAAGATAGGCACTCAAAATAACTCGTCGGAGAATAGAGGTAAAGACAGATTCGTAATTAAATCATTTCCTGCATAAATACAGACCGGTTAGCGATACATGATAAATAATTACTAATTGTAGCTGTTTTTGAACAAATGATACAAATTCCGGAACGTGAAACAGGGGATGAACTATTAATAAGTAATTATTAGTTATAATCATTTTGTACGGTTAACTATATTGCTATTCAAAAAACAGAATCCGCAAATTTGTGAAAATATAACGATTAATTATAAATCATTATATGGTTTTTATGTGTAAAACTAATAATAACATGAAACAATACCGTTTCTCATTAAAGAAGGAAAATGAGAAATTGTAATAATATAACTGTGTGTGTGATTACAGAATAACGTTATGTTAAATAATATTATGCAAACATTTATTATTTTAGAAGTATTGTATTAAATTTTCAAGCCAGTATATCGTATAATAATATGATATACGCTAATGTTATTCCATAAGATGGATCGGATTATAAGTATTCCGATGCGTTTGTATTAAACGCGTTTCCATTCTTCACTGATCGAGACATAATTGATATTGAGATCGCTTTGGGAGTTGTGATAATTTAATGTGTAAAATGATAATATTATTGAATAGCAATAAATATTTGAGCTATCTAATAAAAAGCAATGGTGAACTTGCCAATTTATTACAATGTTAACTGGTTTTATGTTCTTTAAATATACATCTCTCATTCTTGCTTTGTTTATTCCATGTATATTTAATATTCCCGGAATTCTAGATAATTGTGCTACGTTGTTGCATATATTTAAATTATTTTAAATACTAACTCAACGGAGATTACTAGAGCTTCATTCGACCACCTTATCGAATTAAGCGTTAGTAATCTCCGTTAATCACACACGCTGTTTTTTTCACCCACGAAAATCTGTGCGATTCTATGGTTAAAACCGGCCGGATGAGTGCAACGAAACGGTGTGCGAAGTAAGCTTTTGGGGAGATAAATTATCGATTCGCATACGGTCGTGTGGTCGAGTGCACGTCGTGGCGTTGCGGTACAGCCTCGCATCGGCTCGATAAAATATGCTCCTCTTCTCTGGTCTCTCGTTTCACCTTTCTCCCATCCACATCCTCTCTCCGACTCGATACGGTTTCATTCACGCTGATATGTAGGAATAGATCAAGACGAGTAGTCGAAAATCGAGTTACCGCCGGAAGGTCTCTACCAAGGGCATCAGTTACTCTGAACAGGATATGCCACCGTTGGAAAGTATAGAAGGATAAGATAGAAGTGGACTGTCGGAGACGGAGGGTGGTCTGATTACAATCGGTTTGATAGCCTATCCTTGCCGGTTGGAGGTTCCGGTGGGCACACACAGTGGTCCATTCTCGTGAATTAGTCCGATCCTCATCATCTTCCTTTTCGACCAACTCAATCGACATCGTCGCATCGTGCCAGGATCTTGGTAGATTAGGATATCAACAGGAAATTGATAAAAGTTTATTTTGTTCGTAGATGCCCCCGAGATTTTTATACAATTATCCAGTATCAACCATCAAATTTCTTTTGATATCCTCTTGAAATTTAAAATCTAACGTTAGATAAAATCGAGAGTCGATTCTAAACGAATTGTCTTTAATTTAATACATATATAAAAATGTTACGTTTGCTTTCCAATCCAAGTAATATATCCAATATATCAATAGTTGCATGTTACGGCATAAATCATTTTATGTGTCGCAAGGATTTGTCTTTTGAAGATAGTGTAGTATATAGTGTGTAGTATATATATATATATATATAATATAGTATAGTATATAGGCAAAATTCTGATCTGTATATATGTGTTGATAAATATTTATAAATTCGTGATTAAATCCTTTTTACGCGCTAATAATTTTAATGAATAATTCGATATTTGAGTGTCTTTTTTGTGATCATAAGAAAGATTTCTTCGCCATTAATAAATATTGTTAAGGCAGAGTTTCATGAAACGTCTTGCTTGACACAGTTCTTTTCATCTACGCTGTAGGTTTCTTAGTTGATTAAATTATCCATGCATTTTTCTTGTCTGCTGAATTTTTCAGCAAGCATCGCATTCATACAGCTCAAAAGGATTAAAAAGACTGAAATCTTTCCCGTGAATCAAGAAAGATCAAATATCACGTAATTTCACCAAAAGGGATCTTACACGAAAGCGGTTTTAGAATCGGTTTGCTTTCAACGAAATTTCGCAAAATCCTTCGAATTTGATATTATCCAGTAGTAAATAGTTGGCAAGATCCGATTTCGTAGGGAGAAGATTTGTTGAAATATGGCCCGGGTGAATGCAGAAAAGGCGCAGCATGAAAAAGATGCCAGCATTAAAGGATCTCCGATGATGACGTCACGCGTCATGGTTCGCCCCACCGTCTGGTGGTTAAAACGTGGCCCACGGTTTTCAATAAAGTGGGACTAATGGAGCGCCATTTATTATTGCAGCTCTCTCCATCTCTCTCCCCATCTCTCCCTCGTTCCCTTTCACATGCCTACCAGTCGACAGAATGATGCTTTCATTTGAAATGAGCGTTATTTCCATCAGCGACAACGGTAATTTCGATGAATATAAAACATCATTATCGTTACAATTGTGACGTATTATCACATTTAAATGTCGATGCATTATGAAATAAGGTTACTAGAATCACGATAGAAGCAGCACCTGCGTGTCATGCGTACGTACGTATGCACGTTGCATGTTTACGATGTGTGCAAGTTGCATACGGGAAAGTATACTGAGCTAATAATAAGGGAAGGCCGTTTAATTTTGCATGCAGTATATCGCTTGAGTTTCTATACAAAATAAATTTCTTACTTAATTCACGCATAATTGGGAGAACAATCTTTCGTATATTTTGAACGCATAGTCTGATCTTTTGGAACATTATTTACCTATTTGACATTTATTTTGAAAGGTAATTTTGATATATATCGTACATTACATATTTATATAATTTAAACATTTTATGTTAAAAAGACGATTAAATCATAGAAAACATATCACATCAAACTTGATAAAATCGTAGACAAAGATCTTGGTATATTGAAAAGTTAATATAATGAATTTTTTATGAGAATTTTATCCAATTAAAATTTAAGTTAAATTATTTTTTAATTAAATAGCTAGCAAGTTTAGATTATTTTATTGCATTAACTAAAATTTTTTAATATATGTGTAAGACATATACAGGGTGTTAGCAAAAAAGGGTCGCAGATTTTAAGAACATATAAATATAGAAGAACAAAAAATAAATCAAAAAGTCCTAATAAACATAGGTCCGAAAACGAACAGTTACCAAAATATCTCTTTGTTATCAAAATATCTCTTTGTTTAATAACAATACATTTCCTTCAAATTGACTTAATAATAATGTAACGCAGAAATTATTCTTATTTATTCATTTCAAATATGTACTTTAAGAATAATAAAAATAAATAAAAATAAATTTAAAAAAAACAGTAAATGCATTTTTTTTGCGTTACATTATCATTAAATTGATTTGAAGGAA